CGATTAGTAATCCTCAAAGTGATGAAGAACCAAGACGCAGCAAAAGAACCAAAACATCTACATCTTTTGGTCCAGATTTTTTAACTTATATGTTAGAAAATGAGCCTAGGACATTCAATGAAGCAATGTCTAGTACAAAAACTCCATTCTGGAAAGAGGCTATCAATAGTGAAATTGATTCTATTATGCTGAATCATACCTGGGAATTGGTAGATCTCCCACCTAGTAATAAACCATTAGGTTGTAAATGAATTTTCAAAAGGAAATTAAAGACTGATGGATCAGTTGATAAATACAAGGTCAGATTGGTAGCTAAAGGATTCAAACAAAAGAAAGGCCTTGATTTTTTCGATACATACTCACCTGTGACAAGGATAACATCAATTAGAGTATTAATTGCAATCGCAGCATTGCATAATTTGGAAATCCATCAGATAAACGTCAAAACAGCTTTCTTAAATGGTGAGCTAGAAGAAGAAATTTACATGGAACAACCCGAAGAGTTCATCGCTCCTGGACAGGAGAAAAAGATGTGTAGACTCGTCAAGTCATTATATGGAGTAAAACAAGCGCCAAAACAATGGCATGCAAAATTTGACAAAATTATGTTGTCAAATAGTTTTAAGATTAACGAATGTGATAAATGTGTTTATATTAAAACCACTCCTAATGCATATATAATTGTATGTCTATACGTTGATGACATGCTAATTGTGGGTAGTAGTTATGATATGATAACAAATACCAAGAAAATGTTGACAAAATATTTTGACATGAAAGATATGGGTATTGCAGATGTAATATTAGGAATTAAAATTCTTAAAACATCTGAGGGACTTGTAATGTCTCAATCTCACTATATTGAGACTGTACTTAAAAAGTTTAATATGTATGATGAAAGTCCAGTTAAAACATCAATAGATTTAAGTCTACATTTGGCCAAACATAAAGGCGAACCCGTATCTCAATTAGAATACTCTCGGATAATAGGCAGTCTAATGTATATTACAAACTACACTCGTCCGGATATTGCATATGCAGTAAACAAACTTAGTAGATATACAAGTAATCCAAATAATGACCATTGGAAAGCACTGGTAAGGGTTTTAAGATATCTACGATACACCTCAAATGTTGGATTACATTATACGAGATATCCAGCTGTATTAAAAGGATACAGTGATGCTAATTGGATATCAGATACAAAAGACTCAAAATTCACTAGTGGGTATATTTTTACCATTGGTGGTGCGGCTGTATCTTGGAAATCCTCTAAACAAACATGTATAGCTCGATCCACAATGGAATTTGAATTCATAGCTTTAGATAAAGCTGGAGAGGAAGCAGAATGGATTCGAAATTTTTTAGAGGATATTCCATGTTGGCCTAAGCCTGTGCCTGCAATTAGTATACATTGTGATAGTCAGTCGGCTATCGGTAGAGCACAAAGTAGTATGTATAATGGTAAGTCTCGACATATACGTCGAAGACATAATACAGTTAAGCAGTTGATCTCAAATGGTATTATTTTCATAGATTATGTAAAGTCTAGAGAAAATCTGGCAGATCCACTTACCAAAAGCTTACCAAAAGATCAAGTATACTACCTATTAAGGGGAATGGGCTTAAAGCCTACTACATAAGAATCTTTGTAATGGTAACCCAACCTTGCTGACTGGAGATCCCAAAATCTTGGTTCAATGGGAAAACTAAGTTATGAAGATTCAATAAGCATTTCAGAGTTAACTCCTACCCATTCCTATGATAAGGAAGTGCTATCTGCAGAAAGTTTTAGGTTAAGTTATACTTTTAATGATTTCTATATCTTGGACTACCTAAGTGGAGTACGGTAGGTACTCTTAATAGGAGATCACCTATACGAGTGTGAAGTGTGGCCGCTTTTATGAGAATGTTTCAAAGGCTTGAATTCTCTAAAGCACTTATGAAATCCAAGAGTTGTTCAGGGCCAAAATGAACACAACAGTGAGAACTCGAAAATGTTAGGAAGGTTATTGTGTTGACACTATTGTCTTGATTTACAAAAACAGCTGACAGTTCAAGACACCGCGTTCACTATTAGCCAAGTAAATCCGATAGTATTCTACTACGGAAGGTTCAAACCCATAAGGTACTTATCCAGATGCGATAACATTCCGCCTGATCTCTCTATAGGGTTTGCATAGTCTACTGCATTAATTACCATTCATGTGGGGGATTGTTGGAAAAATTGATTCTAATTAGTTGGTTTGACCAATTTTTGACCAATTAATTTAGTGGGTCCTGTTAATCGGAAATAAGATTTCTTTGACCGAATGTCTACTCCATGAGTAGATTAATATGGTATATTTATTTTCTCAAAATCAATTTAGGGTGAATGAGAAATTAAGGCCAAAAGATGCCCACTTGATGTTGACATAAAATAGGTGGGAAATTGGAAAATATTAATCCCACATAGGAAAACTAGAAGAATATAAACCACCTTATATAGCTCAAGTTTGAGACTTGGGTTTGGGCCCCAAGGGGTACCAATAGTCTTTGAGGGGGAGAGAACCTACATGCTAGTAGGTTAAGCCAAAACCCACACGCGCGCGCCGCCGCCGTCCGTCCTACCGGCCGGCTCGGCTCGGCACGGCACGGTCACGGTCACGGGTCTTGGGCTTGGGCCAAGATGATATATATTTTTTAGTAAAATAACATTTAATTATATTATTTTATTATTATAATAATAATATATTTTATGTTATTTTTTTCTTCCCGGAATTTTCTGTGTGTGACATGTGGTGACGGTGCTTCTAGAATTTAGCAGGTTGTGGCGGTTGACTGTCGACTGTCCAAGTGACGGTTGACTGTCCAAAGTGGCGGTTGACTGTCCAAACAGTTTGTGTCTTTTGGACATAACTTTTCGACAGTTGTGTCTGTTGGGACACAATCTTTCAACATCTATAAATAGGCCCCCATACTCCGATTTTTATTCATTCCAAAAATCAGAATTAATTTTTTACTCTCCCGAAATTATCTATTTGTCCTTGCATAATTTCTGTTTTTATAATTCAGTTCTCGAAAATTACTTTTCGTGCATTTCAGCCATCTAGTGTGTGTGGAGAGATCTAAACTTTACGGGTTCGTCGGGTCCTGTAATTTGGAGTACTACTATTACAAGACGAGGTCGTTGTATCTTGGGAAACGAGTGCTGCAATACCGTTAGTACCAGTGCGGGGTATTATCGTTTTAAAGAGAAAGAGTCGAACTCTTGCCTCGACCGTTCAAAACCATCCAAACGTCGTTACTCTACCCAAATATAAATTACGGTAACACTATTATTTGCTATTATTTTTCAACAGATTTGTCTATGACGAGCAAGGAATTCCTGAAAATGTCGATTTGAACTATGCACCTTTTTATGTATCCTTTTTTTTTTTTTAAATAAAATTAGATTATCGTATGTATGTCGTTATTTAATATATTTCGTGTTAATTTTAATAAATAATCGTGTTTGATGTATTTTAAATTGTTTTCATCTTTTAATTAATTTGTTAATTATTATATCTTACATTTAAAATTTATTTTAAATGCAAATAATATTAATATTAATAAAAAAATTTATTGTATTAAAAAATATATAGCACAAATGACATAAATACCCTTAATAAATTTATTTGAGAAATGTTAAATAAGGGCAAAAGAGACATTTTAAACTTTACACCAAAATGGTACACCATTTTTCACCAAAATGGTGCAAAGTTTGGTGTTGCATTGGAGCAACTTTTCACCAAAAAATGGTGCAATGGTTGAAGATGCCCTAAGTTGCCGAAGTGTCCAAAAGGCTTGCAACGATTGCTAGAATTTTGCGCAGTGTGTAACAATTATCTGCTAATTTTGTATTGGAGAAAATCCTAATGGCTCACAATCTATTTCTTGATCGAAAATGTAAGTGTTCCCGGTATTAATGGTGATAGAATTACTAAATTTCAGTCTCTGTCCAGTTGGTTTCTGATTGGGAAGGGGGAGCACAAACTTGTTAATTAAACCAAAAGCCGAAGGAAAATAATGATCCCAGATGGAATTAAGAGCCAATATAAAACAAGAAGAGAATGCAGATATAATGAAAAATCCATAAGACAGACTCGTCCATGGACATTTTCCTCCTTAGCAAGCCTTGCATCGATTTAGTAGACAAAACACTGTCAAAAGTATGATAAAGCCATTAATGGTGGAGTCCATATCTTGTGATTTGGGGATATAGCTCTCTCCCCTGCATCAGTTGCAAAAAAATTTCAAACCCAAGAATATGTTCCACTCTCACACCTACTTTTGATACGATCTTCAAAACTTATAAAAAGTATCAAATGCAGGTGTTAGAGGAGAATCATATCAATCATCATAGGTAGTGCATAAACCAATTTGCAGGTTGGTATACATCTCAGTTCTAAATGTTGGTCCAACCAATCTTGGATTTATAGCCTCATTGAAGTTGTTGCCCTCTATCTCATGTTGATAAGCTTTATATTCTACTCCTGCTAAAAGCCAAGTCCCAACACAGTACACGCAGGACTAGTTAATGCATGACTCTTCTTTAAAGGGCATATTTTGTCAAGAATTTCCTTTTTAAAATGAGTTGTATAAAGGTACTGGACAAGGTACCTCCAGTATCGAAACCGTAATCCTAAGGATAGATCAATGATCAGGCCTTCAATTTGCTCCTCAGTGGTCATCAGTTTGAGTCCCCTTAGGGCCATTGACGAGAGTATCCGGCTATAAACTTCAGACTCCGTGGGATTAGTTGAGGAGCGTAAAGCTAGCCCGAACACTCACGGTCATTTTAAAAAAAAAAAAGTATCGAGACACAGCATAGGAATTCTAAAGTTTGACAATCTATAATGTATAGATTTGACATCTGCATATACATTAGTGCATTTATGTATATATAAAGACGTCAAAAACTACTAAATATCTTTTATAGCATCTGCATTTGGCAATTGACGGGCAGTTAAATAGTACAGTCAAGAAGAAGGCACTTTTACCTCGTTATCAGAAATAACTGAGGAAGAGAAAAACAAGTCACTCGAAGTGGAAGGAGAAAACATTAGAGTACAACTGTGTATTTCATTATTTAGACGGTTTTACATGACCTCCTAAACGTCTAAAACCGAAGAGTAAAACACAAGATCAGACAACATTTGAGCTTACCTACTTAGCAAAATCCAATGTATATCGGCCAAAGAAAAAAATGTAACGGAAACAGTTACATACAACAGCCACACAAGATTGTAAAAGAGAGAAAAAAAGAGCAAACCCTTTTCCCCTTCTCTCTATATCTACTCTGTGTCTGAAGGTAAATATGAAGAATCAGCGGCAGTTGCAGGCGCGAGGCTTTGTAACCCCGGCTTCAGTTCCCGGTTACAGAACTCCTCATACTCTACTCTATCCCCTCCTTTCTTCTTCACCTCCACAACCCTCAGTGATGGTGTCAATTCAAATATCTCAGCTGCAATTGTCAATGGCCCTCTCACACCCTCCCTTGAACCTTCCAAACTCACTCTGCAGTCCTTTTTCCTAACTGAAAAGCTCACTACCTTCGCTATTTCCTCCAATTTTGATATAATATTTGAAACAGGTGCCCCTGAAACAAACCTTGCCCCATCTGACCCCTCTTCAAACAATCCAGACAAGTCAAAACCACGCGAAAAAGAAATAATATCAAATGCATTCAAACTAGCAGGCCTCGGAAGTCTAGCAAACCTCTTTCGGGTATCCAATTCAGACTCCGACTCAGACAATGACTGATCAGATAAAGACTCCATATCATCATTCTCATCATCGTTAACACTGCACAATTTATCATCCTCAATATAAAACTTCACGTGCTTAAAACCCCTTTTGAACCATTTGTTGTTCATAATTTCCGGGATTGTGATCCGGGTTTCTGGATTTGTATCAAGCAAACGGCTTAATAATCGAATCAATTCCGGTGTAAACCATCTTGGACATCTAAATTCACCTTTATATATCTTTTTGTACATAGCCATGATATTTTGATCATGAAATGGCAAGTGGCCTGCCATCAACACAAAGAGTATCACCCCACACGACCAAATATCGACTTTGGCTGCATCATACCCTTTCCGTGCCAAAACCTCCGGCGCCACATATGCCGGAGTCCCACAAAAAGTGTGGAAAAGGCCATCCTGCTTTATCTGTTCAGATATAGCACTGAGGCCGAAATCAGAAACCTTTAAATTCCCATCCTCATCCAGTAAAATATTCTCCGGCTTCAAATCCCGATGATACACCCCCCGGGCATGGCAAAACGCCACCGCGGAAATCAACTGCTGGAAATACTTCCTCGCAACCTCTTCCTTCAGCCTGCCTTTTGCAACCTTGTTAAACAATTCACCTCCTTTTACATACTCCATAACGAAAAATATTTTCGACTTAGTTGCCATAACCTCAAACAATTGTACGATATTCGGATGCCGCACTCTTCGCAATATCGAGATCTCACGTTTGATATGCGCTATAAGGCCAATCTTAAGGATCTTCTCCTTGTCTATGACCTTGATCGCCACGTTTTCGCCCGTTTTAACATTCCTGGCATGATAAACCTTCGCAAACGTCCCGTGGCCCAAAAGTTTCCCGATTTCATACCTCCCTAATAACAACCCCTGGATTTCTTTCTGTTTTGCACTTCTTGTTGCCGTTGGTGCAGCAGCAGCCATGGATTCAAGCTTCTTCCAAAATCGAAAATTCCAATTTCAAATTCTATGAAGAAAAGGTCCTATTGTGCGAGTGGCGGTTCCGCCATGCGGGGGTGGGGGCTTCTAGGGTTGAGCTGGTGGTTTGCGTTTCTGTGAGGTCCATAAAGTTTGGGGGACGAAGTACACTTTATAAGAAACGGACGTTAACGGCGTCTTGACGATGAGGGCTCGAATGTAAAAAACAAATCCTTTTAAAGTGTGACAGCTGGCGTTAAATAACGGTGATGAGATCTTGACTTTAACGGCTATCTTATTCTATTCATAAAGGAGTGAAGATTCCGTGTCCGGTCGAGCGACCACGTTTGATTTCAAAACTTGTCCGTGGAAGGGAAGTTGGCGCATATGATCCCTAATCTTTGCTATCAATGTGTAAATGGTGTCTAATGTTTAATTTTTGGCATATAAATCGTCGCCTGTATTTTGATGCGAAATTGGTCCTTTTCATTGTAAAGATCAATGTTAGTATGTTACCTTCATTTTAATAGGAAAAATTGAATCTAGATCCGAAGCTTCGAAATAAGTACAAATGAGTTCTGCACATTTATTTGATTATAGTTGATTTAGCAAACTAAATATATCATTAATCCGTGTCAATTAAAAATTAAAATTTCTAGGAGAAGGAAAAAAAATAAATTATTCTGCTTTAAGTGCATGTAATCGTTTTGTGTTGTAAAAAACTTGAATAAAAATTAAGAAAAATATATTTTAAAAAAATGACTTATATAATTTTACTACGTTCAACTAATATTATTGTTTTTTTAATAAAAAAATAATTTACGAACTATTCGTTCTTTGTTCTTTGTTCTCATTATTAAACATAATAATACATCAACAAAATGATTAAGCATTTTTTGACGAAATTAATTTTATACATAATTATTTCAATTTCGTTTCTTCTTAAATAGACTTCCTCCAAGTAATGACCGTCTTTTTATTACCAAAACAATATATTTTGTCTCTAAAATTGACTTATTTTCCAAATCAATCTGACGTGATCAAGGTGTGGCATTCTTGATGGCTATCCAAATACAAGTCTCCGGATGGTTGAAGATAAGGCAGCAACACTAATGTTAAAGTCAAACTCCAAACCCAAATGACGGTGCTCATTCGGAGGCACGTAATCATTGAAACCAAGCAAGAATAATTTATATAGGCGATGCACATTTACTAATTGTACTCCAGCTGTTAATTCGGAAATGCATGCGAAGTTGTGGTGTGTATCTGAATTCTGAGGGAAAGGGGGGCGGCAATAGCTAATTGCCGAAGCAAAGGCATCACGTTCTGTTTCGTGACATCATTGTCAGGTCGTCACCTGCATTTGCATACGTTTTAAGCGCATATTTCTGCTGTGCATGAACGTGTTGGATTAAAATATAGAGTAGGTTGACATTGATTACTTTGGATGTTTAACGTATGTCTAAGATACATGTTTGGATATTATTTGCATAGTATGAACTTGTTGGATTAAAATAGTCCCGATATTTTGTGAAACCCAAATAGATGACATATAGGGGCAACTATGAGTTGATGCTATATAAAAGCCACGTGTAAACTAGGCTTACGTAGACAAGTCGAGGCCGATGAACTTCGCAGCCCAAGCCCTCATTACAAGAAAAAGAGTCGTCGACATTATGTAAAAGGTAGCATTCTTTGACTACATGTTAAAAAAAGTCTACGGCAAGAGTTAGTGAGTGTACGTTATTGTTGGTTAACTAAATTGACTTTTGACAATGTATTTTAACGAATGTTGCTAATGTGTCATTTTATAATGTTTGCATTCCGTTGCTGTTAAATTTTTTTATTTTTTTATTATTTTTTTGTGCATTTTTGTTTCTAAAACATTAATGACAATGAACTTTGCTAAAACATTAACAACAACAAGCACTGTATGTTGTTAAAATATTATCGACAACGTTCAATGAACTTGCTAAAATATTAAAAGCAACGTGAAATGAACGTTACTGAAACATTAACGACAATGAGCATTACAATCTTTTGCAACATGCATTATCTATTGTCGTATACGTGTACTCTACGATTATATTGAAAACTACAAAATGCGCGGAAACGTTGCAAAAGGCCTTTCATACTTTATTTTTTTTTTTCAATTGCAAAAAATTCCTTTCATTATAGTTCCTGCTATCAGTGATGAGGCCTACCCTCGTGCCTAAACTAGCCCAACACTAGGGCACTAGCAACAGGAATGAGGCATCACTTGAAGAACCCTTGATCAAAACCTTCAGAACTGAGGGGATTTCAAAAGATGTGATGCCTTGAGTGTAAGCCCAAGCTAGGTCCCCGAGCATTCTGAGTGCCTCATTAGGCTTGGGAGGGAAAATGCACAAACAAGTGGACAGGTGTGAGACAGTAACCCAAAAATATTCTATCGTGTAAAATCTAATAGCAAATGTCAAGTATCAACAAAACTCTCATGTGTAGGATGTGTCACGTGCCATCAATCGTAAAGATCATATTACTTATCATCACAATAAGTAAGAATAAATGAATAGATCGAATACTGTAGTATGAAGTAGGTCAGTGCGCTCTGATGATTGCTATTGAAGGAAAGATTATAAGGGGACGCGAGCATATTGGACCCCATCAAATTACCCAAAGTTATAAGAGGCTTAGGCAAAAGAGACCCCATCAAATTACCCACTTTGTGTAAATGATGTGATGGGTTGATCACTCGTCCTTGTCAACTCATGAGCTGGAAAGAACTCGTCAAGATGGTGGAGATATACATTTTGCTATCCTATAAATTCTCATCGTAAGATCCCAACCAAGGTAGGCAAAATATACTATAATCAATACTGTCAAATTGTCTTTCCACGCCCAAATTCAATATATTGATTTGACGTTGGAGAGCACAAGATCTTTGCACCCCTTTCATGACAACAGAGCATTATAATATTGTCTTAACTGTGCAAGAACTATATAGGTGGACAGATATGTAATCTAGTTAAATTTAGAATCATTTAAACTTTGAGGTCAACTAGTTTTGCTAAGAGTAAAAGTCATAGGAGGTTGAATAAACGCTCCCTTCCTCTCCCTATTCTCAAATTTTATTTTGTTCTGTGGCGTTCAAAAGAAATCCATACAACTTCCAAAACTATGCCTTTATTTGAAATCAGGGTAGATTGGGGAGACTAATACCTGAGAGAAGTGACATCGGATTAAACCGACTTGCTATTAGTACACCCGGTGGCCACTAAATTCCAAAGAGTTAATTAGATAATCAATCATCAATATTTACTTTCGATTACTACTTATTCATCCAAAATTAAAAGTTTACTCATTGTTCACCCACATTTAAACAAGGTTATCCATCCAACGTCCATATCAGTTCCATCCATCTTGGACAAAAGAATTCACATGGCAGATAAAAATCTTACTTGGCATCTAACGGTATTAAAATTTGACAGCTTAGAAAGTGACTGTAGATTCAACCAGCAAATTTTTCTTTAGTAGGTTAGAATCGTTCTTTTTTTTTTTCTTCGTCAAATATTAAACTTCCTCCATTCTTCATAGTCAAATCAAAATCCATTTCTTTCCCTAAATCAATTTCTCATCAATGGAATCCCAAATCAAGATTGTTTCAAATCAAACTGAAATTGAAAAACCCCCCAAATTCACGAGAACCCAAATTCCTTGTTCATCAGAGCCTTCTTATTACTAAATAATCCAGTAATATTTCTTGGAGGAGAAATGGTGACCGATGCAATATCAATGGAGTTAAAGTTGTGGGGTGGGTGTTTCCATGGGGTTGGGTCTAGCCAACAGAAGAGTTTGAAGAAGGGATCCTATTATTGTCCACATATAATGTGACCACGTGGAGGCCCCATGCGCATACACATGGCATTCGATTAAGGATAAAGGAAGAATTATGGAAGTGCTTTCATTACAAGATCATAGTACTGAAATTCTCCGAAAGTGGTGTCCACTCTTGTTCATTCGAGGTGGGGTTACTTCTTTCTGCCAAACCCCTTAACATCAGAAGTCCATAATTCCCGGAAGAGTGTTCGATAGTCATATCTTTAGGATTAATTGATGTGATGTTCTTATTAAATAGATGTTAGGAATGTCAGTTTAGAAATGTAGGATGGCTGACCCCTTGTCAAATGTTTATCAATGTAATTAATGTGAGGTAGGATGATGTGACACCAAGGTTTAGCAAATCAGGCCACGTGAATCCGATCCGACAGTGACCACATCTGCCTGGTCACTATAAATAGCTGTTTTTGTAACATTTTGAATAATAGATTTTTAGATATATAAAAAAGCATTGCATATCTTTCCCTACAAAGGACCCGTTCATTGTTCTATTTATTATTCTTTTACATGTTGTTACCTTGTCCGTTTATTTAAACATGTTAGATCATTAATCGAACATGGGCCTAAGTTTGTAATTAGTATATTGAGGAGTAAGTCTACGTGTATATTGTTGTGAACGACACCTGTTGATACATTTTTTAGGTTAACAAATCCATCTTCCACTATTACTTGCAAGAACTCACCTTGTTTTGGTAACAATTTTCTCGGCACGATTTTCTTTGGCGATGGGACGTCAAAAAATGTTTCCGACAATAATAATGATGGACATTTTTAAGAATGTGCAATTTTAAGGGTATGAGTTGAAAATTGTTCACTTATTTGAATTAGTGCCAACTTGTCTATTATGCCCTTAATGAAAAGCTACATTTTGAAATGATATTCTCGACGTTTTAAATTTTATTCTCGACATTTGATTTTTTTATCTATTTGTCACGAATTTTGAGAAGTGGCTTCTATGAGCAGCTACATTAAAATAATATTTATTGACATTTCATATGTCATTATCGACATTTGAACATCGTTTTATTTGTTTAGAATGATATTTCATTTTGAACATGACATTTCTCTATATTTAAAATGTCATTCTCGACACTTCTGAATCAAGGAAAAACATAGTAGTTATTGTGATTTGACATGTATACTTTTTGAAATAAATATGGCAGGTTATGTGACAAAACTTTATTGGCCAATGACAGTATCGCAAAAATGCCCATTTTTTGTCTTGGTGTGAAATTATAAATTGTTAATAAGGATATTTTGGTCTAAATTCTTCCAAATTAGATATTTTTGCAATGATGAATATTTTTACAAATGACTAAATAAAAATGGACATTTTGTGAAATTTCATCTGATAACGATACAAAATTCTTCTCATCACAATCTGAGAATGGAAGTCAAATGTTGTCTTCATCTTTATTGCTCTCAATGCCACTTGAATGTGTAGATTATGGCTTTGTTTGATTTCCATTTTTTTTAAAATATATTTTTCTTTTAGCCCTCTAAACAACCAGGGGGTTGTTCAAATAGGACGGCCCAACTTTTTTTACATTTAGGCTATGAGTTAGGGATGGCAACAAAGGGGGTTCGAGGTGGAGCGCTCCCAACTCGACTTGTTCCGTCTAAGGTGGGGTGGGACGCGAAGTGTGTCAAGGGGGATGGGGCAACTTTTTGCCTCATTTGTTGTCAAGTTTAATTTTTTTTATTTTTTTTACATTTTTAAATTTTTTTAAAATTTCGAGTTATGTCACTATTAAAGTATAAAATACAAATTAAAAATGAGTTTTTCAATGAATGAATTGTTTAGAAATAAAATTAAAAATATTTTTTTTTCTTCATGCGGCGCGTTCGGGGTAGGGCATCCTCGCCCCACCCCACCCCCATGCCTCGTGACGAGACACCCCATCTAGCCTTACCTCGCCCTGTCCCGCCAACCCTTTTGAGGTAGGTTTTTTTGCCCCATTTGGGACGAAACGGGACGAGGCGAGGAGAGGCGAATCTTTTTGCCACCATCGCATCGCTATGAGAAGCTTTTTAGCTCCCGTTTGTGCCACATTATTTTAAAAATTAAAATGAAAAATATAGTCGTTATTGATTCCACATAAAAAATAAAATGTCAAATATATGATAGATAATGAACTTATTTTTCATTTTAACGAAGAAATAATCTACTAAAACAGGCCTTAACTTGGAATAGCAAATAATGATCGGACGCAAATGTTGGTGACAAAATTTCCAAATCTTGAACCCCCCACACGAAGCCCTCGCGTTCCAGATTTCAAATCCGAAACTCTCAATCCTGCAATCGTCAATTTCGTTCCTTGAATCTCAATTCAGAAGCTGACAAGAAACGTGTGAAATTGAGAGATACGAAAAACCCTAGTTTTCGTTTTCGGGATGGCGTCGGGGAAGAAAGCGTCAGAGGGCATAGCTTTACTCTCCATGTACGGTGATGAGGAGGATGATGAAATGGAAGACCTCGAAGAACTTAAAGAAAAAGAGCAAGAAGAAGATGAAAATCCCATAAACGACGCCGCTGCAGAAGAGGACGACACTGTTAGTAACAGTGTGGTTGCTTCTGATTCCGGCACTGAAAATACTCCTTGGCTACAAGAGGAGCGTGGTGGTCTGAATGACAATTCTACCCCCAATAAGACCTTTTATTCTGGCGGCACTTCTTCGGCAACTACAACTTCGCAGCAGCCGCCTCTCTTTTCCCCTGAACAACAACAGCAACAGAATGTTGGTTCGGATTTGAATTCGGTCCAGTCTCAGAAAAATATGTTTAATATAGTGGATTACGGGCACGACGAGGTGGCAATGTCCCCTGAAGCCGAGGTACAAAATTATATATCTTTGGCTTCGTTAATGTTTTGTTCTTATTAAATTTCATAATTTTGGTTGGTGACTTGTAATTGTAGGAAGGTGAAATAATGGAAACTGGTCAGGTAAAGTATGGGGAGGAGCATCAAATGGCGAATGGTATGTTTGGCTTCGAATTTGATCAGTTGTGATTATTTATCACGTCTTTTGCATTTGTCTTCGAATTTGATCAGTTGTGATTATTTATCACGTCTTACGCATTACGTATCATTGAGTACACCTTCTTGAAGTTCAGGAAAATTATAATTTTGCTATTAGAGGGGTAGGATTTAATAGATAGAACTTTACAAATTGACATATAGTAGTAGTAAAGAGAATATATAAGTACTTGTTAATGGGCAGTGACCGTCATAGTGATTGCATGTAAATTACATGACTTTTGCACTTCGGCCACTGAGAATACTGTGTTGTACCACTAAGTTCTTCCATTGAACTCTATTATAATGTATATGCAATTGTGTTTACAATCTCCCTGCTATATACAAAGATAAAACTAACATAGGTGTAATAATTAATGCATCCCGATTATTTAGCCCTTCTGTGATGTTGATTTCTTTAGAAGTGATTTTGTGAAAAGTGATTTTTTTAAGAGAATGTGTGGTTAAAAAGTAAGATAAGCTGTGGATCCATTGCAAAATCAAACTTCCGCCGTCCCATAAAGATAATTCTTGATTTTCTTTTTCATCTGTCCCAAATTGTAATCCATTTTCCTATTGAAAGTTTAGATATTTTTTAGTTTTTTAATATGTCCCTTTTCAATGTACATTGTTATTAACAAATATAAACTAATCATATTTAAACAATTCTTTAATGTAGGGGTATATTAGGAAAAATGTAAGAAAAAATATTATATTTCCAACTAAATTAATTATATTTTCTTAATCCGTGGGAAAAGAGAAACAAGCCAATCTTTATGGGCAGAGGGAGTATTATTAAAAGAATGTATGGTCGAAAATGAGTTTGAGAAAAATTTATTTTGTAAATATGTCTTTCAAACAATGGCTTATTTTAACATATACGACAAAAGGACCCTCCTGAGTGTTCTTGTGAAAAATACTATTCCTCTCCTGATATCTCCTCTCATATCATGACATAGCCAGTGATCCATTGCTTGCCAAAGGTACAAGTAAATTTATGTTCTCCCTCTGCGCCCCCCCCCTCCCCCCCCTCTTTCTCTCTCTCTCTCTCGCCTATAGCATGAGAGATAGCTTTTGAAAGTAAATCCGCCATC